ACAGAACTGCAAGGAGAAATAGATAAAACCACTATTATTGCTGAGATTTAAATACCCCTCTATCAGAAATGGATGGATCCAGCAGGTAGAAAATTGGTAAGAATGTCGTAAAACTCAACAGCACCATCAATCAAGTGTATATAATTAACATATATAGATTGCTTCATCCAAAACCTGCAGATTATACATTCTTTTCAAGCTCACATAGAATACTCATCAAGACAGACCAGACTCTGGGCCATGAAACGCCTCCTAACAAATCTGAAAGAACTGAAATCATACAATGTATGCTCTCAGATCTCAACAGAATTAAACTAATCAAAGACAGCTAGAAAATCTCCTTTTTTTTTTTTTCTTTTGGAAATGGAGTCTTGCTCTGCTGCCCAGGCTGGAGTGCAGTGGTGTGAGCTCGGCTCACTGCAACTTCTGCCTCCTGAGTTCAAGCAATTCTTCTCCCTCACCCTCCAGAGCAGCTGGGTTTACAGGCACGCACCACCACCCCCAGCTACTTTTTGTATTTTTAGTAGAGATGGAGTTTCACCATGTTGGCCAGGATGGTCTTGATCTCGACCTTGTGATCCACCTGCCTCAATCTCCCAAAGTGCTGGGATTACAGGCATGAGCCACCACGCATAGCTGAAAATCTCAAAAATACGTAAAGATCAAACAGCACACTTCTAAATGACAAATGGGTCAAACAAGAAATCTCAAGAGAAGTTAAAATCTTTGCACTAACAGCAGATACAACTTAAGATTTGTGCGGTGCAACAAAAGCAGGTCTTGGGGGAAATTTATAGCACTTAATGGTTAGTTAGATAAGGAAGAAAATCTATGTCAATCATCTAAGCTTCCACCTTAGGAAACTTAAAAAAAAAAAAAAAAGAAAGAAAACTAAATCCAAAGTAAGCAGAAGAAAAGAAATAATAAAAATTCGAGGACAAGCATGGTGGCTTATGCCTGTAATCTCAGCACTTTGGGAGGCCAATGTGGGAGGATCACTGAGGCCAGGAGCTTGAGACCAGCCTGGGCAGCACAGCTAGACTCCATCTCTACAAAAATTTAAAAATTGGTGGCACATGCCTATAGTCCCCTCTACTTGGGTGGCTGAGGTGGGAGCATCCCTTGAGCCCAGGAGGTGGAGGCTGCAGTGAGCCGTGATCATGACACTGCACCCCTGCCTGGTCAACAAAGCAAGGCCCTGTGACAAATGAAGAAAAAACCCCAATAAAAGTCAATGAAATTGAAAACAGAAAAAACAGAGTAAAATCAGTAATACCAACAGCTGGTTCTTTGAAAGGATGAATAAAATTAGCCTCTCAACAGGCTAACAAAGAAAACACAGAAGACACAAATTACTAACAGCAGAAATTTAGAAGGGACATCACTACAGATCTCCTAAACATGAAATGGATAATAAAGGAATTTCATGAATAACTCTATATCCACCAACTTGAAAACCTAGATGAAACAGACCAATGACTTCAAAGAAACAATATGCTTGTATTGGTTCGTTTTCATGCTGCTGATAAAGACATACCGAAACTGGGCAATTCACAAAAGAAAAAGGTTTAATTGGACTCACAGTTCCACAAGGCTGGGAGGTCTCACAATCAGGATGGAAGGCGAGAAGCAAGTCATAGCTTACGTGAATGGTGGCAGGCAAAGAGAGCTTGTGCAGAAAAACTCCCGTTTTTAAGTCAGAATTCTTTTTTTTTTTTTTTTTGAGACAGAGTTTCACTCCTGTTACCCAGGCTGGAGTGCAATGGCGCGATCTCGGCTCACCGCAACCTCCGCCTCCTGGGTTCAGGCAATTCTCCTGCCTCAGCCTCCTGAGTAGCTGGGATTACAGGCACGTGCCACCATGCCCAGCTAATTTTTTGTATTTTTAGTAGAGACGGGGGTTCACCATGTTGACCAGGATGGTCTCGATCTGTTGACCTCGTGATCCACCTGCCTCGGCCTACCAAAGTGCTGGGATTACAGGCGTGAGCCACTGCGCCCGGCCAAAAGTCAGAATTCTTAAGACTTACTTACTACGTATAAAACCATCAGATTTGGTAAGGAAAAAAAAAGACTTATTCACTATCACAAGAACAGCCCCCATGATTCAATGACCTCCCAGGTGGGAATTCAGAATGAAATTTTGGTAGGGATGCAGCCAAACCATATCACTGCAAAAACCCACACAAGAAACAGACAATCTACACAGGTCTGTATCTATAAAGAAAAAGAATAACATTCCGAAACAGAAAGCACCAGGTCCAGATGTGTTCACTGGTGAATTCTACCAAACGTTTAAGGAAGAAAGTATGCCAATTTTCTACAATCTCTTCCAGAAGAAGCAGAGGGAATACTTCCTAACATTCTATGAGGCCAGCATCACCCTAATACCAATATGAAAGACATTCAAACAACAGAGAACTGGCTGGGTGCGGTGGTTCATGCCTGGAATCCCAGCACTTTGGGAAGCCAAGGCCGGCAGATCACTAGGTCAGGAGTTCAAGACCAGCCTGGCCAACATGGTGAAACCCCATCTCTGCTAAAGATACAAAAAATTAGCCGGGTGTGGTGGTGCGTGCCTGTGATTCCAGCTACTTGGGAGGCTGAAGCAGGAGAATCGCTTGAACTGGGGAGGTGGAGGTTGCAGTGAGCTGAGATGGCACCACTGCGCTCCAGCCAGGGTGAGACGCTGTCTCAAAACAAAACAAAAAAAACAAAACTGAGAACAACGGGCCAATACCACAGCTCACGAATAAACATGCAAAAAATCTCAACAAGGTGAGGCATGGTGGTTCATGCCTATATTCCCAGCACTTTGAGAAGCCAAAGTGAGTGGATCGGTTGAGTCCCGGAGTTCAAGACCAGCCTGAGCAACATGGCAAAAGCCCATCTCTTAAAAAAAAAGTCTCAACATTAACAAATTGAATCCAACAATCTAAAAAAAAAATCTACACCCCTGTATTAGTCAGAATTTTCCAGAGAAATAGAATCAATAGGATATATATATATATGTATGTATATACCACATCCTTTTTTCTCCACTTTTTTCCCCCCACGACACAACAAGCAGATGACAATATCTGTAAGTCATAACAAGTTACATTAAACGACATGGTCAACTTTACAAACATCTCTATAAACTTTTCTTGATTCTCTAAAACCTGCCCAACCTCTTCCTTGCATAAAGCCAAATTAGACATAGAAAAAGGCACACGTACTCTAAGTGTTCCCTCACTTCCACTGGCTACCTCCCACAATGCACCCAGGTTTGGCTTTAAGGGCTGATACTGGGCCCCACTCCAGGTGGTTCTGGTTGGGCTTACTTTCCTGGGGAGTGAGAGGGTTCAGCTGGAGCTACATTGATAAGGGGGAGGGAAAAGGGGAAGGCATGAGTGATGAACTTGGAGTGGAATCCTTCACTAAAGAACTGTCAGAAAGCCCCTCAGAACTGGGGGACTGAGGAGACCTTGGGGAAAATGTAAGCCTTGTAAAGGGGGCAGCTAGGAGGGGATCCCTTAGGCATGGCATTCTGGTTCCTGGAAGTAACATGAACCTGTAAAGGGCCATAAAAGCATGCACATAAGGGACCTCTTCCCACTTTCCTTTTCACAAAATAAGTCTAATTGTAAAATATCATTATAATGTATAGAACCACATTTAGGCCAAATCTGTTAGTTTTCTAATCGTATGGAACCCAAACAGTGTTTCGACAGAAAATGAGTTTCTTCTTTAAGACAAATCTGAACTTGCTCCAATAGCCTAAAAGATACCCAGTGGACAAGTCCTCTGGGATGCTTGCTATTGTCCCCAGGTCGACTAAGGAGCTCTATAGGGGGTTTCAGCTAAGTTTAGCAAATGTCTAGTCAATTTTCCCTTTTAAATTCCCACCGTCTAGAAAGGTGTAAATAGCGTGTTATAAAAGTGGATTAGGGGCTGGGAGCGGTCGCTCAACCCGGTAATCACAGCACTTTGGGAGGCTGAAATGGGTAGATCGCCAGGTCAAGAGACTGAGGCCATCCTGGCCAACATGGTGAAACCACGTCTCTACTAAAAATACAAAAATTAGCTGGGCGTGGTGGCACGCACCTGCCTGTAGTCCCAGCTACTCCGAGGCTGAGGCAGGAGAATCGCTTGAACCGGGAAGCAGAGGTTGCAGTGAGCCCACATTGCGCCACAGCAACTCCAGTCTAGGAATAGAAGGAGACTCTGTCTCAAAAAAAAAAAAAAAGGGATTGGGAGCTACAAATGCGCAGTTGCATGTTGAGCCTAAATTCCAGAGGGCTGGGCAGAGAAGGTCTAAACAAATGGTGACTGTGGACGGGAGGAAAGGAAGGGGGTAAACAACATTGCCCAAAAGGGAGAACTCCGACGCCCTCACCACCTGAGAACCTACTCAATAGTGGAGACAACCAGAAACAACATTCAGGTGGCCCCAGACCTGTTTTAGCTAGTCTTCAATTCGGTGGGGTGTCCAAACCCCGACTCCAGCCTCTAGTCCCGCCTCCTACCTCACCTTTAATTTACTTTTAGCTTATAAACCTCAAATGCGGAAAGAAATAGGAAAGGAAATGACAAGAGATTAAATACGTAGTGAATTTAGGGCAATGGTGGTTTGTTGTATTGGACTGACGTTTTCTTGAGTTTGAACATTTCCAAATTAACAAGGCAAGGAAAATCCACTTGGAAAATGCTCTTGCTGTTTACGGTCAACTCAATTCCAATCTGGGATACAAAAACAAGTCTGCATGTTCTCTTTTCTCCTGGAGATGCTTGTATTGAAGCTCACAGATTTACAGGGTTCTAAGCTGAATACAGAACTGACTTTTTGCTTTTCCGTGATAGTAAAATTTGCATTTACACGCATTCATTCACCCATGCATTTAAATTGTATGAGACGCCTTAACTCCCTAAAATGAGTTTCTAATCTCTCCACCTGTACATAATGTACCAAACATAAAGAACATCCCCCAAAAGAACAAATTAATCCAGTGCTCACTCACCCAAACTGGCTGAAATCCCCAGGTCGGTGAAGCCGCTGAAATAACCACGACCCCAGCAAGAACTTTTCTTCTTTGGCAAGAAAGTCTGCAAAGGTTGATGAAGAGGATTGGGAAAGGGGAGCACCTGGACCCAAGCCGCGAGAGGCACCAGCGGGAGTCTGGAAAGAAGTGCCATAGCGGCAGGAGGCCCCACGTCCGAGATCCGGGAAAGGCACCGGAGAAGGCGACCTGCAGGAGAACCCCCTTTGACCCCCTCTCTACTTTGGTCCTCCTCGTCTGGTGGGAGGAACTTTATTCGGTGTAGAAGAGCCAGCACGCGGATGCACGAGGAGTGCAGCGTTTACTTCCGTTTCCGGGAGCGCACTTCTGTTTCCAGGCAAGCAGGCAATGGGCGGGGCCTCGGAATAGACTGGGAAACAGGAATCACGACAATTGCGTGCTGACGTCAGGAGGACGCTACAGCAAACGCCTTCCAAAGCTGGTAGAGAGATCCCAGCGTCTGCCGGGAAAGGCAGAGGGGCGGAGACAAAGGGGCAGGGCTATTCCCAGGAAGCGGGGTTGCCTATCCGAGAGCCACCCTGCAGGCCATGCAGAGCCAGGTGAAATATGCACAGGGGGCCGGGCGCGGTGGCTCACGCCGGTAATCCCAGCACTTTGGGAAGCTGAGGTGGGTGGATTACGAGGTCAAGAGATGGAGACCATCCTGGTCAACATGGTGAGACCCCGGCTCTACTGAAAATACAAAAAATTAGCTGTAGTCCCAGCTACTCTAGAGGCTGAGGCAGGAGAATTGCTTGAACCCAGGAGGCGGAGGTTGCAGTGAGCCGAGATCCTGCCATTGCCCTCCAGTCTGGGTAACAAGAGGGAAACTCCGTCTCAAAAAAAAACAACAAAAACACAGCAATCTGAAATGCTCTGGATTGAGTTTCACAGCAAGCACAGCTGAACCCGGGACAGTCCAGCTTTGTGGGGGAGGGACGTACACCATTACTGAGGCAGTCCACCACTGAGGTAGTTCACCATTGTTGAGGCAGCCTACCATTGCGGAGGCAACCCCCAATTACAGAGAGAGTCCACCATTACAGAGGTGGGCTGCCACTGCTGAGGCAGTTCTAACTACACCTGTATAAACAGGACTGCAGGGAAGTTCACATGGCAGCTGGGTAGAGCCCACAGCAGCTCAGCAAAGCCTCTGCAGGCAGACAGTGACTAGGCTGCCTCCTCATTGGGCAGGGCAGCCCTGATAAAAGGCAGCAGCATGACAGTAACTTATAAATAAAGCCCTAACTTCCTGGGACAGAGCACCTGTGGAAAAAAAGGGGGGGGGGATTATGAGTTCTGCTGCAGCAGACTTAAACATACCTACCCAGCAGCTCTGAATGAACAACGGAGCTCACAGCTCAGCACTTGAGCTCCAATAAAGAACAGACCATCTCCTCAAGCAGCTCCCTGACCCCTGTATATCCATAGAGTCACCTCATAAAGGAGAGCTCAGACTGACAGCTAGTGTGTATCCTTCTGGGACAAAGTAGCAGAAGAAGAAACTGGTAGCAACCCTTACTGTTCTGCAGCCACTGCAGGTAATCCCCAGGCAAGCAGGACCTGAAGTGGACCTCAGCAGTCCTACAGCAGAGGGGCCTGAATGTTAGAAAGAAAACTAAGAAACAGAAAGAAATAACTTCATCATTAACAAACTGGATGTCCACTCAATGTCCACTCAAGAGACCCAATCTGAAAGTCAACAACTGCAAAGATGACAGGTGGATAAATCCACAAAGATGGGAAGAAACCAGCACAAAAAGGATGAAAACACCCGAAACCAGAATACCTCTCCTACAAGGGATCACAACTCCTCAGCAGCAAGGGAACACAACTCCTCACCAGCAAGGGAACAAGGCTGGATGGAGAATGAGTGTGATGAATTGAAAGAAACAGGCTTCAGAAGGTGGGTAATAAGAAACTTCTCTGACCTAAAATAACATGTTCTAACCCAATGCAAAGAAACTAAGAACCAGGCCGGGCATGCCTATAATCCCAGTACTTTGGGAGGCCAAGGTGGGTGGATCATGAGGTCAAGTGAAACCTCGTCTCTACTAAAAATACAAAAATTAGCTGGGCATGGTGGTGTGCACCTGTAGTCCCAGCTACTCGGGAGGCTGAGGCAGGAGAATTGCTTGATCCCAGAAGGCAGAGGTTGCGGTGAGCCAAGATCATGCCATTGCACTCCAGTCTGGGTAACAACAGCGAAACTCCATCTCAAAAAGAAAAAGAAAAGAAACTAAGAACCTTGAAACAAGATTTGATGAAATGCTAATGAGAATAAACAACTTAGAGAGGAATATAAGCAAATTGATGGAGCTGAAAAACACAACACAAGAACTTCGCGAAGCATACACAAGTTTCAACAGCCAAATTGACCAAGAAGAAGAAAGGATATCAGAGATCGAAGATCAACTCAATGAAATAAAAAGAGAAGGCAAGGGCCGGGCACGGTGGCTCAAACCTGTAATCCCAGCACTTTGGGAGGCCAAGGTGGGTGGATCACGAGGTCAAGAGATCGAGACCATCCTGGTCAACATGGTGAAACCCCGTCTCTACTAAAAATATACAAAAAATTAGCTGGGCATGGTGGCACGTGCCTGTAATCCCAGCTACTCAGGAGGCTGAGGCAGGGGAATTGCCTGAACCCAGGAGGCGGAGGTTGTGGTGAGCCAAGATCATGCCATTGCACTCCAGCCTGGGTAACAGGAGCGAAACTCCATCTCGAAAAAAAAAATAAAAGAAAGAAGGCAAAATTAGAGAAAAAAGGGTAAAAAGTAATGAACAAGTCTCCAAGAAATATGGGACTATGTGAAAAGACCTAATCTACATTTGATAGGTGTACCTGAATGTGACAGAGAGAATGAATCCAAGCTGGAAAATACTCTTCAGGATATTATCCAGGAAAACTTCCCCAACCTAGCAAGGCAGGCCAATATTCAAGTCCAGGAAATACAGAGTACACCACAAAGATATTCCTCAAAAAGAGCAACCCCAAGGCATATAATCATCAGATTGACCAGGGTTGAAATGACAGAGAAAATGCTAAGGGCAGCCAGAGAGAAAGGTCGGGTTACCCATAAAGGGAAGCCCATCAGACTCACAGCAGATCTCTCAGCAGAAACCCTACAAGCCAAAGAGAGTGGGGGCCAATATTCAACATCCTTAAAGAAAAGAACTTTCAATCCAGAATTTCATATCCAGCCAAACTAAGCTTCATAAGTGAAGGAGAAATAAAATCCTTTACAAACAAGCAAGTACTCAGAGATTTCATCACCACCAGGCCTGCTTTACAAGAGCTCCTGAAAGAAGCACTAAACATAGAAAGGAACAACCAGTACCAGCCACTCCAAAAACATACCAAATGGTAAAGAGCATTGACACAATGAAGAAACTGCATCAACTAACGGGCAAAACAGCCAGCTAGCATCAAAATGACAGGATCAAATTCACACATAACAATATTAACCCTAAATGTAAATGGGCTAAATGCCCCAATCAAAAGAAACAGACTGGCAAATTGGATAAAAAGCCAAAACCCATTGGTGTGCTGTATCCAGGAAAGCCATCTTGCATGCAAGAATACACAAAGGCTTAAAATAAAGGGATGGAGGAAGATTTACCAAGCAAATGGAAAGCAAAAAAAAAAAAAAAAAAAAAAAAAAAAAGCAGGAGCTGCAATTCTCATCTCTGATAAAATAGACTTTAAACCAACAAAGATCAAAAGAGACAAAGAAGGACATTACATAATGGTAAAAGGATCAATACAACAAGAAGAGCTAACGATCCTAAATATATACGCACCCAATACAGGAGCATCTAGATACATAAAGCAAGTTCTTAATGACTTACAAAGAGACTTAGACTCCCACACAATTATAGTAGGAGACTTTAATACACCATTGTGAATATTAGACAGATCAACGTGACAAAAAATTAACAAGGATATCCAGGACTTGAACTCAAGCCTGGACCAAGCAAACCTAATAGATATTTACAGAACTCTCCACCCCAAATCCACAGAATATACATTCTTCTTAGCACCACATCACACCTACTCTAAAACTGACCACATAATTGGAAGTAAATCACTCCTCAGGAAACGCAAAAGAATGGAAATCATAACAGTCTCTCAGACCACAGTGCAATCAAGTTAGAACTCAGAATTCAGAAACTAACTCAGAACTGCACAACTTCATGGAAACTGAACAACTGGCTCTTGAATGTTGACTGAATAAACAATGAAATGAAGGCAGAAATAAAGATGTTCTTCAAAACCAACAAGAACGATGAAACAACGTAACAGAATCTCTGAGACACATTTAAAGCAGTCTCTAGAGGAAAACATATAGCAATAAATGCCCACATGAGAAGCAAGGAAAGATCTAAAATTGACACCCTATCATCAAAATTGAAAGAGCTAGAGGAGCAAGATTAAAAAAAACTCATCAACTAATGGGCATCAATTAATGGGCAAAACAGCCAGCTAACATCAAATGGCACTAATAAACTTACATATATTATTATTAATCCTAAATTTAAATTGACTCAATCCCCCAATCAAAAGACACAGCCAAAACACTTTGGTGTGCTGCATCCAGACCCAACTCAAATGCAAGGATACACAAAGACTCAAAGGGATGGAGAAAGATTTACCAACCAAATGGAGAGCAAAAATATATAAATAAATAAAAAGCAGGAGTTGCAATTCTTGCCTCTGATAAAATAGACTTTAAACCAACAAAGATCAAAAGAGGCAAAGAAGGTCATTACATAATGGTAAAAGGGTCAATGCAACAAGAAGAGCTAACGATCCTAAATATATATGCACCCAATAAGGAACACCCAGGTACATAAGACTTATAAAGAGACTTAGACTCTCACACAATTATAGTGGGAGACTTCAACATCAATACTAGACAGATCAACGAGACAGAAAATTAACAAGGATATCCAGGACCTGAACTCAGATCTGCAACAAGTAAATTTAATAATCATTTATAGACCTTTCCACAAAATATACATTCTTATCAGAACCACACTACACCGACTCACAGGTTTAAATGAAATATTGGTTGGCTGTTTGTTATTTTCTTCCCTCATTTTTTCCTGCCTCCATTATTAGGCACAATTATTGGCATAAAAGAGGTTTTCAATACCCATTTTTAGACTGCATTCTAGCCTGGGCAATAAAGCAACACTCTCGTTCTCTTGCCCTTTTCCTCTTTCTTCCTCTCCTTCATTCATTTTTTCTTTCTTTCTTTTTCTTAAAAAAAAAAAAGAAAAACATTGGTGAATGTGTGTGTGGTAGTGGTTGTATAAGGAAAGGCTCTTAATTCTGGAGACATTCTAAAGGAAAATTCTAGAATGTTTACAGAAAGAGCCAATGTATCCTATGTATCAAATCCTATTATTATCTATATAGGACTTTTCTCATAAAAAAAGCAAACTCAAAACCTAGCAGAAGACAAGAAATAACTAAGATCAGAGTAGAACTGAAGGAGATAGAGACACAAAAAAAATCCTTCAAAAAATCAATAATTCCAGGAGCCGGTTTTTCTAAAAGATCAACAAAATAGACCACTAGCCAGACTAATAAAAAAGAAAAGAGTGAATAATCAAATAGATGCAATAAAAAACGATAAAGGGGATATCACCACAGATTCCACAGAAATACAAACCATCATCAGAGATTATTACAAACAACTCTATGCACATAAACTAGTAAACCTGGAAGAAATGGATAAATTCCTGGACACTTGCCTCCTCCCAAGCCTAAACCAGGAAAAAGTCGAAACCCTGAATAGACCAATAACAAGGGCAGAAGTTGAGGCAGCAATTAAGAGCCTACCACCCAAAAAAAGCCCAGGTCTAGATGGGTTCACAGCCAAATTCTACCAGACATACAAAGAGAAGCTGGTACCATTCCTTCTGAAACTATTCCAAATAATCCAAAAAGAGGGAATCCTTCCCAAATCATTTTATGAGACCAACAGCATCCTGATACCAAAACCCAGCAGAGACTCAGCAAGAAAAGAAAACTTCAGGCCAATGTCCATGATGAACATAGATGCAAAAATCATCAATAAAATACTGGCAAGCCAACTGCAACAGCACATCAAAAAGCTTATCCACCATGATCAAGTAGGCTTCATCCCGGGGATGCAAGGCTGGTTCAGCATACGCAAGTCTGTAAACGTAATTCACCACATAAACAGAACCAAAGACAAAAACCACATGATTATCTTAATAATTGATGCAGAAAAGCCCTTTGACAAAATTCAACAGCACTTTATGCTAAAAACCCTCAATAAACTAGGTATTGATGGACGTATCTCAAAATAATAAAAGCTATTTACGACAAACCAACAGCCAATATCATACTGAATGGGCAAGAACTGAAAGCATTCCCTTTGAAATCTGGCACTAGACAAGGATGCCCTCTCTCACCACTCCTATTCAATATAGTATCAGAAGTTCTAGCCAGAGCAATCAGGCAAGAAAAAGAAATAAAGGATATTCAAACAGGAAAGGAGGAAGTCAAATTGTCTCTATTTGCAGATGACATGATTGCATATTTAGAAGACCCAATCGTCTCAGCCCAAAATCTCCTAAAACTGATAAGCAACTTCAGCAAGTCTCAGGATAAAAGATTTTAAAATAATTTTATTTTTTTGAGATGGAGTCACTCTGTCACCAGGATGGAGTGGAATGGTGTGATCTTGATTCACTGCAACCTCCACCTCCCAGGTTCAAGTCATTCTTCTGCCTCAGCCTCCCGAGTAGCTGGGATTACAGGTGCCCGCCACCACAGCCAGCCAATTTTTGTATTTTTAGTAGAGCGGGGTTTCACCTTATTGGCCAGGATGGTCCCAATCTCTTGACCTCGTGATCTGCCCACCTCAATCTCCCCAAGTGCTGGGATTACAGGCACGAGCGACCGCACCTGGTCCAGGATTAGATATTTAAATAAGTATTAAATTAGATGTTGCATCAAAGGAATACATTAGTTTTAAAAATTGCTCCGCTGCTCTTTCAGAGAATTAAACAATAAGTTAAAAACCTAACACTAGGCCAGGCGCAGTGGCTCCTGCCTGTAATCCAGCACTTTGGGAGGCCGAGGCAGGAGGATCACGAGGTCAGGAAATCAATACCATAGTGGCCAAACATGGTGAAACTCCATCTCTACTAAAAAATACAAAAATTAGCCAGGGGTGGTGGTGCGGGCTTGTAGCTGCAGCTACTTGGGAGTCTGAGGCAGAAGAATCACTTGAACTGGAGACAGAGGTTGCAGTGAGCCGAGATTACTAAACCACTGCACTCCAACCTGGTGTCAGAGCGAGACCCCGTCTCAAAACAAACAAACAAAACAACAAAAGAAAAAAAGAAAAACCCTAACACTAATCAGTATTTTTAAATGTCCTCGTCCTGTCACTCCACAGACTCCAAGCACCCAGCGGTCACTGGACTCAAAGCATCAGCTGCCACAGACAATCAGAAACCAAAATGGCTGGTTACTAGGCAGACTCTAGTGGGTAGGTCAAACAGGGAGTCCTGTAGACAGATCTCACTGTGCACAGATGGCTGCTGAGGAAAGGTGGGCCTTGGTCAGGAGCTCCAGGAGCCACCTGTGCAGAAATTTCACCAAGGTCTCCAAGCCTCATGGAGCAGTCACATGGCACTCCAGACACACTCTTCAGTCCACTGCCCCAAAGGTCACCATGGGATGAACACAGCTCAACATTGGTGAAAGGTGTGGGCGTCTTCACGCATATATTAACCAGTAACTGTGGGCTTTGCTTTGGAGATAGAACTAAAGCCCCACCCTCTTCTCCTCTGCCAGTGGAGCCTGCGGTTTTCATGGGCACAGGATGGGTGTAGGACAGGCCATAAGTAGGTTTTGAAAAGGGTAACATTCTAATGGGAAAAGGATATAAAGTTCTCACTTCGGGCCAATCTGAAAATGTCACATACTGCACGATTCCAACTCTATGACATTCTGACAAAGGCAAAACTATGGAGACAGTACAAAGATGAGTGGTTGTCAGGGGCTGGGGAGAGGAAGGAAGAAATAGTTGGAGCACGATGATCTGTAGACTTTGGGTGATAATGAAGTGACAGTGTAGGTTCATGAGTTCTAACAAGTGTATTATTCTATTGGATTGTGTTGATTACGTTGATGATGATGGAAGCTGACGCGTGTGTAGTGGCAGCAGGAATACAGGAAGTCTTTGAACCTTCCACACTATTTTGCTGTGAACCCACTAAAACTGCTCTGGAACATGGATTTCTGTTTTGAGACAGGGTCTGACTCTGTCACCCAGGCTAGGGTGCAGTGGCACAGTCTCAGCTCACTTCAACCTGTCTCCTGGGCTAAAATGATTCTTCTGCCTCAGCCTCCTGGGTAGCTGGGTCTACAGGCATGAGCCAGCATGCCCAGCTAAGTTTTGTCTTTTTTGTAGAGTCAGGGTTTCACCATGTTAGCTAGGGTGGTCTTGAACTCCTCAGTTCAAGCGATCCACTCACCTCAGCCTCTCAAAGTGCTGAGATTACAGGCGTTAGCTACAGCACCAGGTGAATGTGGATTTTTTTTTTTGAGATGGAGTTTCGCTCTTGTTGCCCAGGTTGGAGTGCAGTGGCACGATCTCGGTTCACCGCAACCTCCGCCTTCTGGGTTCAAGCAATTCTCCTGCCTCAGCCTCCCGAGTAGCTGGGATTACAGGCACGCACCACCATGCCTAGCTAATTTTTGTATTTTTAGTAGCGACGGGGTTTCACCACGTTGACCAGGATGGTCTCGATCTCTTGACCTCGTGATCCACCCGCCTCGGCCTCCCAAAGTGCTGGGATTATAGGCCTGAGCCACCGTGCCCAGCCAATTCTAATTTTTTTAAATAATTTATTTATTTTACTTTAGGAGCATACTATACCTGGCATTTCTCCCCATGTTATCCCTCCTCACCCCCCTCCCCAACCCCATCGTCTCTCCCCTACCCCCCCAACTGTCCCGTGTGTGATGCTCCTCTCCCTGAGTCAACATGTTCTCGTTGTTCAACACCCACCTATGAATGAGAACACACAGTGCTTGGCTTTCTGTTCTTGGGACAGTTTGCTGAGAATGATGGTTTCCAGATTCATCCAAGTCCCTACAAAGGACATGAACTCATCGTTTTTTATGGCTGCATAGTATTCCACGGTGTATATGTACCATATTTTATTTGTCCAGTCTATCATTGACGGGCATTTGGGTTGGTTCCAGGTCTTTGCTATTGTACACAGGGCTGCAATGAACATTATGTGTGCAGTCTTTAGAGTAGAATGATTTATAGTTCTTTGGGTATATACCTAATAGTGGGATTGGAAAGAACTAAAGCAAATATACAAGAAAAAAACAACCCCATTCAAAAGTGGGCAAAGGATATGAACAGACACTTTCCAAAAGAGGACATATATGAGGCCAACAAACATATGAAAAAATGCTCATCATCACTGGTCATTAGAGAAATGCAAATCAAAACCACACTGAGATATCATCTCACACCAGTTAGAATGGCGATCATTAAAAAATCGGGAGACAACAGATGCTGGAGAGGATGTGGAGAAATAGGAACACTCTTACACAGTTGGTGGGAGTGTAAATTAGTTCAACCATTGTGGAATACAGTGTGGCGATTTCTCAAGGATCTAGAAATAGAAATTCTAATTTTTTTGAGACAGTCTCACTTTGTCACCCAGGCTGTAGTGCAGTGGCACAATCTCGGCTCACTGCAACCTCTGCCTCCCGAATTCAAGGGATTCTCCTGCCTCAGCCTCCCAAGTAGCTGGGACTACAGGCACATGCCACCATGCCTGGCTAATTTTTTGTGTTTTTAATAGAGATAGGATTTCACCATGTTGGCCAGGATGGTCTCGATCTCCTGACCTCAGGTTATCCACCCACCTTGGCCTCCCAAAGTGCTGGGATTCCAGCCGTGAGACACCACACCCAGCCATTTTATTTTATTTATTATTTAGGGTTTTTTTTTTGAGATGGAGTCTTGCTCTGTTACCCAGGTTGGAGTGCAGTGGTCTTGGCTCACTTGCAGTCTAATTTTAGATGTGTAAAACAAGCCTCATGGAATTAGCAAAAGCTCTCCCACATGCCTTAAAGCAGAAATCTCTACACTGGATTTTTATTCCTTATATAAAAGGTATAAACATCTAATGAAATCTCTCCACATTCCTAATAATGCAGCGTCAGTCCACTCTAAGTCACTAAATGTTGGGTGAGGTCACATTTCTTACTTTCACAGTAAAAGAAACTTTCTTTTTTTTTTTTTTTTGAGACGGAGTTTCGCTCGTTACCCAGGCTGGAGTGCAATGGCGCGATCTCGGTTCACTGCAACCTCCGCCTCCTGGGTTCAGGCAATTCTCCTGTCTCCGCCTCCTGAGTAGCTGGGATTACAGGCACACGCCACCATGCCCAGCCATTTTTTTGTATTTTTAGTAGAGACGGGGTTTCACCATGTCGACCAGGATGGTCTCGATCTCTTGACCTCGTGATCCACCCGCCCTGGCCTCCCAAAGTGCTGGGATTACAGGCGTGAGCCACCGCGCCCGGCCCAAGAAACTTTCTTTTCTTGATGTTGATTTTCACAGGGTCTGTCACCACAGGAGGTGGAAGTGAGTTTTAAGATCTGATGAGCACCTGCAGACTTCTTCACATGCCCTACATTCAGAGAACGTCTCTCCTGTGACTGCTTTTGTGTTTACACTAACACTAATGATAGCTTATGAATGAGAAAAGATCACATACAAAATTTCATTATATTTTAAGAAAGCTTACAAATGTGTGTTGGTGCACATTCAAAGCCATCCTGACCTGCGGGTTGGACAAGCTTGATCTAAAGCTTTCCCCAAGTTCCTCACAGTATTAGTTTCCTAGGGTTGCTGTACAAAGTAACACAGACCAATGATTTCACCAAGAGAAATTTATTGCCTCACAGTTGTGGAGCCTGCAAGTCCGATATCAAGGTGAAGACAGGGTTGGTTTCCTCTGGAGGCCAAAATGAAAGCATCCGTTCCAGGTCTCTGCCCTTGGCCTGCAGATGGCCACCTTCTGGTGGGTTCACAGTCTCCTCCATGTGTATCCTTCCTTCACTTTCTCTCATAGGGACATCAGTGATGTTAGATTAGGGATCGAACTTAACAGCCTCATTTGAAGTTACTCACCTGTTTAAAAACCTTACATCCAAAGAGTTATATTGTAAGGAACCAGGACTTAGGGCTTAAAAATATGGAGTGGGGCATCGTCCAGACCATACCATTTAAATTGCAGAGTTTCTCTCCAATGTGAGTTCACATATGCACATTAAGGTTTGTGAGATTCAGAAAGCAATTCCCAGACTCTCTACATTCATAGGGTTTCTCTCCAGTGAAATTTCTGATGTGTTTGGTAAGGCTTGGGAATTCAGTGAAGTAGTTTCCACATTCCCTACTGACGCAGGGTCTTCTCCACTGTGAATTCATATGTGTTCATGAAGACCTGAGATACAAAGCTGCTTCCACATTTTTACATTCATAGGGTTTCTCCCGGTGAGTTTTCATGTATTCAGTGAGAACAGGGACACCTTTAGGTTTCCCCACATTCCTTACCCTGACAGTTTCTCATCTCCATGCCTTTTTTCATGATTTCGAAAGGAACTGGAAGAACTGAAGGCTTTCCCACACTCCTTACATTCATAGGGTTTCTCCCCAGTGTGAGTTCGTTCATGTAACTGAAATGAATTGGAGTAACTGAAGGATTTCCCACACCGTTTACATTCGTAGGGTTTTTCTCCAGTGTGGATCCGCATGTGAAGGTTCACACACGTGGGAAACTTAAAGGCTTTGCCACATTCCATACATGTGTATGGTTTTTTGGTACTGTGGGTCCGCATGTGATTATTAAGACTAGAGGAATGTGTAAATGCCTTCCCACATTCCAGGCACTCAAACGGCTTCTCTCCGGTGTGAATTCTCAAATGTCCACTAAGATTTGAAGAAATAGCAAAGGCTTTCCCACATTTGACACATTCAAAAGGCTTCTCTCCAGTGTGAGTTCTTACATGTTCACTCAGGCGAGAGGATCTGGCAAAGGCCTTCCCACATTCCTTGCATTCGTAGGGCCTCTCTCCACTGTGAGTTCGTGCATGCTTGGTAAGGTCTGAGTTCTGAGTGAAGGCTTTCCCACAGTCCTTACATTTATAGGGTTTTATTCCAGTGTGAATTCGAAAGTGATCACTGAGGCATGAGGAATTTCTAAAGGATTTTCCACATGTCTTACATTCAAAGGGGTCCTCTGCAGTGTGAGTTTTTAAATGTTCAGTAAGTTGAGAAGATCTGGTGAAGGCCGTTCCACATTCCTTGCATTCATAAGGCTTCTCACCCACATGAATTTTGATATGTTGACTTAAGCATGAGGAAACAGTGAAGGCTTTCCCACAATCCTTACATTTATAAGGCTTCTCTCCAGTGTGAGTTTTTCTGTGCTGAGTAAGCTGACAAGACCTAGTGAAGGCTTTCCCACACTCCTTACATTCATAGGGAATGTCTCCAGTGTGGGTTCCCATGTGAATATTAAGGTATGCAGAATATCTAAAGCCCTTTCCACATTCCTTACATTTGTAGGGTTTTTCTGAACTGCGAGTTTGTATATGCACAGCAAGGTCTGTGGAGTGAATAAAGCCTCTCCCACATTCCTTCCATTCATGGGGACTTTCTCCATTGTGAGTTCTTAAATGTCCCTGAAGGTGTGACTGATTAATGAAGGATTTCCCAGAGTCACTGCAATCAAAAGCTTTCTCCCCTATGCATGTTCCCTGATAAACAACATCTGGAGTCAGGTTGAAGGCTTTTCTACACTGATTAAACACAGAACAGTGCTCTCCGGAAGAGGTTCTCTTGCATAGGGTAAGGAAGTCTACTCCATACTGATGACACTGAAATGAGCTCTTGCTATTTTGAGTTCTCACATGTGTGTTAAGGCATGAGTGTTCGCTGGAGACATCTCCACACTGCTTAACATCATCCCCTACATTGTGGCTTCCCGTCTGTTGATAAAGGAATGAATGGTGATTAAAGGACTGTTCAGACACATTCACACATTCCACTCATCTGAAGAGAGGAACATTGTGATGGTTATATTCATTTTCACTACACTGATATAAGTACTGCCCTTTTGATTTCTTTCCAGGAAAATGATGAAAAGCTCCTGCCAGGCTGTGCCATCTACTCTAATCTCAAATGTCCATAGAGTTTTATGAAATTGTTTTAAAAACTCACTATCTAGTTACAAATGTGTACTTGAGGGAAACTATAAAACACTTGAGTGTTGGCTAGACATGGTGGCTCACACCTGTAATCCCAGCACTTTGGGAGACCAAGGCAGGTGGATCGACTCAAGTCAAGAGTTTAAGACCAGCCTGGTCAACATGGTGAAACCCTGTCTCTACTAAAATTACAAAAATTAGCTGGGTGTGGTGGCACATGCCTGTACTCCCAGCTACTCAGGAGAGTGAGAGAAGAGAATTGCTTGAACCCAGGAGGTGGAGGCTGCAGTGAGTCGAGATCAGCACTCCAGCCTGGGCAACATAGCAGGACTTCATCTAAGAAAAAAACAACAGTAAGTGTCAAGTTAGGTTTCAAGCATCCCCAAGTCATCATATGCCAAGTCTCTCCAGAGGCATTATCCCTCTTGGGAATGCTACTTTTCTCAAAAAGCTCTCATTCTGCTAATTTTCTTTTTTCTTTTAATGTAATTAAATTAAGTTTTTAAAGCCACGATCTTGCTATGTTGACCAGGCTGGTCTCGATCTCCTGGCCTTAAGAGATCCTCCCACTTCAGCCTCCCAAAGTGCTGGGATGACAAGTGTGAGCCATCATGCCCAGCTTCTTTCTGATTTTCTATAATGGAATTCCAAATTATCTTTAAATGTGAAAACGAAGACATATCCTTGTTCATCTTACCATTTGAATCCCACTAGAGGTTGGCTCCCCAAAAAAATCCTGCTGAAGGGCCGACTGTTTGGTTTTAAGTTGCACTTTCCATTCTAAAGTTAAAGAGAAAAGGAAATGTAAGGGTTTAGAGACATATATGGTAGATAGATGGAGCTGCAAACGAGAGGGATCATTTATATTTGTTTTCAAATTAACCATGGTAACAAAAAACAAACACAAAGACAGATTTGAAGATTTTATATCAAAAAATTGGCAATAATAAGGATATAGGGTCAACATTTTACATAGTTTACTACAAATTGATTCTATGAAAATTGTAAACTGATGGTGAACGCAAAGAACATTACCACATTAGGAAAGTTGAAGAATAAGACAGTAACCACACATCAGAACAAGGAACTTGTTTTTTTTTTTTGAGACGGAGGTTCACTCTTGTCATCAGGCTGGAGTGCAGTGGCACAATCTCAGTTCACTGCAACCTCTGCCTCCTGAGTTCAAGCAATTCTCCTGCCTCAGCCTCCCAAGTAGCTGGGATTACAGGCACCCGCCACCAAGCCTGGCTAATTTTTGTATTTTTAGTAGAGATGGGGTTTCAGCATGTTCACCAGGCTGGTCTCAAATTCCTGACCTCAGGTGATCCTCCTGCCTCAGCCTCCCAAAGTTCTGGGATTACAGACGTGAACCACTGGTGAGTCACCATGCCCAGCCTTTTTTTTTTTCTTTTCTAGACAGAGTCTCACTCCCTCACCTTGGCTGGAGTTCAGTGGCACAGTCTTGGCTCACTGCAACCTTCAGCCCATGGGTTCAAGTAATTCTCCTGCCTCTGCCTCCCTAATAGCTGGGACTACAGGAATGTGCCACCACACTCAGCTAATATTTGTATTTTTGTAGAGATGGGATTTTGCTATCGTGGCCAGGCTGGTCTCAAACTCATGACTTCAAGTTATCTGCCTGCCTCAACCTCCCAAAGTGCTAAGATTACAGGTGTGAGTCACCACACCTGGCCCAAAACAGGAACTTTTAAAGAAGAAACCAAAGGATCCTATCACAGAAAAGACCGAGTAGACAGAGAGTATGAGAAGTTGAAGATTTCCTAACTTCTGAGAAAAAAACGGCCTAGCTGGGCATGGTGGCTCATGCCTGTAATCCCAGCGCTTTCGGAAGCCAAGGCAGGTGGAACACTTGAGGTCAAGAGTTTGTCACCAACCTGACCAATGTGGTGAAATCCCATCTCTATTAATAAAACAAAATGTTAGCCAAGCGTGGTGGCACACACTTGTAGTCCAGGCTGCTTGGAAGGCAGAGGAAGAAGAATCACTTAAACTCAGGAGGCTGAGGTTGCAGTGAGCCGATATCACACCACTGTACCACAGCCTAGGTGACAGTGAAACTATGCCTCAGAAAAAAATATATATATAATAAGTATATTTATTATATATATATATGGCCTCCACATTGTGAAATAAACTGCATCTTGAAGAGTTTCCTCATTATACTTATACACATACTGAACTTATTGACCAGGGCAGTGCTTCATGAACACTCACCTTGGAAATCACCTCTCTGCACTGTCCTAGACTCTTCTTGTTCCAGCCAAGAGATCAGACTGGGTTTGAAGAGCTGACATCCTGTGCACAGAGAAAGATACATTACCAGAAGAGGCTCAGGTAAGAGATGATAAATCTTTCCATAACTCAGAACTATAGTTCCAATGGAAGCAGTGACATTATTTTAAAAGGTAAAAATACAAATACCATCTGTCCGTGCCCCCAAAAGATTGGTTATCCCTCATCCCTGAAGCCCAAATCCAGGCTGATGCACATACTTAGAAAGCACTAAGACTTTTGTCCAAATAGGAAATTAGGTGAAACAAAGAGATCTTCATTCTCATTGGAAACAACTATATCTGTCATTCTTCAACATTACAGCACATCAGATTCAGGAGGAGAGCTTGTTAAAACAGAGATGACAGGGCCATGGTGCAGAGTTTCTGACTGAGTATGTCAAAGGTGGAGACCAAGAACGTACATTTCAAACAGTGTTGGTGATGCTCTTGATCTCACACCACATTTTGAGAACCACCAAGTAGATGAAAGCCCATTAGGGCAGGGACTATGTCTGTTAGTTCCCATTGTGCTCAGAGTTGCTATCTCTGATCCGCAACACAGTAAGTGCATAACATAATCTGTCCCACAGCAGGCTACAAGGGATGAGGCCAGTCTTACCTACTGTGGCCAAATTCTTGTAGTTCTCTAGCATTACATCTCTGTAGAGGTTTCTCTGAGTTGGGTCCAGTAATGTCCATTCTTCTGGGGTGAAGTCCACAGCCAGATCATCAAAGGTCACTGAATCCTTAAAGCATCGCACACATGCTGGCTTGAGCCACCTAACATGTCTACCAGTGTTTAATGCAAAACGTAACACCAACAGAGTTGGAGGGCTCACACTGCCCACCCGAGTTCACTGGACCCAGGAAGTCTTCTCTACCCACACCCACTCACTGCCAATCCCCTCCAGTGACATGGCTTTAATGGCACTTCTTACACATGATCTTATCTAACAAGCAGACTGGGAGGTCGTCTGATGTCCCTCTATGGCATCACACTCTTGAGCAGATGCTAGATAAACGCTGATGAATGGATAAATTCTCTGAACAAAGGATACTCTCATGTCCCTTACTATGTGTCAGAACACTCAACAAAATAAAAAATATGCAGTTGGGATCATGAGAGAAGACTAATTAATAAACCTTGAAATACTGGGAGGACATTCAAGGTAGACCCTCAGCAATGTGACAGGCTCCACTCCTTCAAGGAATTCGACTAGGGACCCAGTCCTTGAAGGAGACTTTATTTGCTGTAAGAAGCTCTGGAGATCATGCTGTGGAGAAGGAAATGTGTCTACCCGGCGAGGCAAGTATTGTATTCTGGGGACAGATACACTTCCTGCGTACCTGATAACAATTTGTCAGACAGTCAGCCACCATCCTTTCTACTTCTGTCTTTTCTTGAAGGCAGACTGGGTCTCTGTAAAGACCTCATGGGAAAGAAAGAAGGTGTGAGAACCCCAGGCTGACCATAATTCCCACATTCACACACCTAGAAGTCATTCCATCCTACTTTGAAATTCCCATATACTCCTGCACACTCAAGAAAACACACACACACACTACTGCTATAAATTCCAGGGCAGTCTTACCTCACCTGAAGGCAAAAAAAAAAAAAAAAAAGGATTGTCAGCCATGCTGCCCACTGGGAAAAGGGTAACAGTCTTATTTTACAGATAAGGAAAATGAACCGTGGAAATACATAGCACCTCTTCCCAAAGCACACACAGCAGGGGGCTGATTAAGAATAAAGCCTTCCGGCTGGGCACAGTGCCTCATGCCCGTAATCCTAGTGCTTTGGGAGGTCGAGACAGGTAGATCACTTGAAGTTAGAAGTTAGAGATCAGCCTGGCCAACATGGTGAAACCCCATCTCTACCAAAAATACAAAAAATTAGCCGGATATGGTGGCACACGCCTGTAATCTCAGCTACTTGGGAGTCTGAGGCAGGAGAATTGCATGAACCGCAGAGGCAGAGGTTGCAGGGAGCTGAGATCACGCCACTGTACTCCACCTGAGCAAGAGAGCAAGACTCTCTCAAAAAAAAGAACAAAGCATTCCCTAGCCCGTGTCAGCACCTCAGAAATGAACCTGCAGTGTGAATGATCAGGCACAGGCCACTGGACTCCATATTGTGTGGGGGGATACCTAAAGCAGGGTCTCTGGAAATGAACAGAAACAGAACTTACCATAGGACAAATCAGTGGCTGCCATCCCGCAGGGCTGACGGCTGAATGTGCTTCAAAGCGCCCTTCCTTTATTCCAAGGATCACTCCAGAGCGGCTTAGGAATCTACACGAACAGACTTAACCTCCATTCTCTTTATCCAGGGTTAATGGTGTCCTGTTTGAATCAATCATTAATCAACAAGCATTACTTATCAGTCATCAGACATCATCAGCACTCTGTCTGCAGAGAATGCATGTGAAAGCCACTGAAAACCGTGTACACCAGGAATGTTAGGAACACCAGCTTCCACACTGAGGAGCAACTGCTGTCGGAAGTCATACTAGCAGCTTTATGTACTCGCTTAATTATCAAAACCACCCTTACAGTAGATATCAATGACCCCTATTTGCTAAAGAGAAAAGCAGGCCGGGCAAGGTCGCTCACGGCTATAATCTCAGCACTTTGGGAAGCTGGGTGTGTCACTTGAGGTCAGGAGTTCAAGACCAGCCTGGTCAATGTGGTGAAACCCTGTCTCTACTGAAAATATAAATTAGCTAGGCATGGTGGTGCATGCGTAGTCCCAGCTGCTTGGGGAGGCTGATGCAGGAGAATCACTTGAACCTGGGAGACAGAGGTTGCAGTGAGCCGAGATCGCGCCACTGCACTCCAGTCTGGGTGACAGTGAGACTGTCTCAAAAAAAGGAAAAAAGAAAAGAGAAAGAAAAAGAAACATTCAGACAACACTTGGATTTGATCCAGTATCATCCAGTTTGGAAGCTGTGGACCAGGACTTGAATGCAGACAATTTTGTTCCTAACACCCCATCTGTGGCTGTTGTTACTTTCCCACATGACCCGCGTTGGTCTAAACCTGCAGAGTACAACACCACGGTCACTACCTCATGTGTTATTGACCAGCCACTCCGTATAACCCCAGTTCAACTGAAGAACTGAATGTATTTTAATTTAATAAAATTTATACAATTAAAATAAAAATCTAATAAAAATTAATCACAATCTTTAATAAATCAAAGAAAATCACGAGGTCAAGAGATCGAGACCAGCCTGGCCAACATGGTGAAACCCCATCTCTACTAAAAAAAAAAAAAAAAATTAGCCAGGCATGGTGGCACGCAGCTATAGTCCCAGCTACTCAGGAGGCTGAGGCTGGAGAATTGCTTGAACCCAGGAGATGGAGGTTGCAGTGAGCTGAGATCACGCCACTGCACTCCAGCCTGGCAACAGAGTGAGGCTCTATATCAAGAAAAAAATAAAATAAAATAAAATACATCAAACACAGAACAGCACAGAGGCTAATTGACAGAATGGTATCTGAATGATGAAAATCACCAAAAACTGAACAATTCATTATCCATGAAGCAGATATACCCCCACAAGGACACTAAAGCCTCTATTCTATGAATGAAAAGGCTGAAACCCTTAAGTCACACTGGGTTACAGAAACCCCACGTCTAGACTCCTGGTATAGATTGTACCTACCATCATGGGCTTCAAACTGGGGATCCTTGGGCTGAAGAGGGCCATGAATGTGTTTCAGTTGGTGAAATCTAAACCAATTATGTTACTTTGAACTTGAAATATAATTAATATACAAGTGCAGATGTTAAGTATTTGGTGGATGAATTTGACAATTGCATACACTTGCATAATCAAAAGCCTAAACAAGAAGGGTTTCCTCTCCCCCAAAAACCTTCTTGCCCCTTCCAGTCTCTTCTTTCCCCCTTGAAGCCAGATGAGCACTCTGTGACTCCCTCCATTTACTAGACGCTATACTGGACAGGCAAACTAGGCAGCGTGCTCATCTCTCGCAAATGTATCTCCTAACCTCATCTTCCTCTATTATTTAAATAACATGAGATAAAAATTCTAAATCTCAGGCCGGGCGTGGTGGCTCACGCCTGTAATCCCAGCACTTTGGGAGGCTGAGGCAGGTGGATCACAAGGTCAGGAGATCAAGACCATCCTGGCCAACATGGTGAAACCCTGTTGTAGGGTCCAGTCCTACTAGTCATGGAGTGTCCCCTATTGCTGTGCTGAGGTGCTGTATCCGAGAAAGAAGAAGACAAGACACCAAAGGACTGGAAAAGAGCAGCTGGGCTCGGGGGGCCACACCACCTATAAGCAGAGACAGGCGAGGCCCCGAGTGTCTGGGCGCAACTGTATTTATTAGGTACAAGACAGGGAAGGGTCTTAGGTGAGGTCATCTTAAGCAGAGTGATAGGGTCAAGACAATCACATGTGTGATAAGCAAAGGGTCCACCTCCATTAGGTCACTAAGGCAAGTAGGTGGGCATTGCAGAGTAAGACGGGTGCGGTGTGTAACATCTCTTATCTAAGGGCAGGTAACTCCTAAGAATTTCTATAGGAGAATGCTCTGAGTCCGCACAGTAGCAGCAGAGCTGACAGGTTATACAGCCACCTGCTGGCAGCCTCCAGTGATTTCTATAGGAGGATGCCGAGTCAGTACAGGAGTAACAGAGCTGTCAGGGTATACAGCCACCTAGGCACGATTATAGATTATACCGGAGAGGTTTTAAGCCCTTGGATGCGCACAGGCTTGCCGAGCTGAGGCCAGCTTTCCACAAGAACTGGACACAAGGTACAGCAACTCCTTTGTAGGAGGAGTGACTCTTGCTCCAAGCCTGCTGTACAGCGGGTATCTTTACAATACTAAACGCTGCTGCCTGGGCCAGCCTGCCATGTAGTGCATGCCCTTTCAGGCAGGGGCACTACTGCCTGGGCCATAGATTCTTGTCGTGGTCTAATTGTTTTTCTCTTAATTCATGCTCTGCGCCGTGTCTGCTCTAGACATACCTCCTACTATAAACAAGATATGATTATATATGTATAGCTGTTTTTCCCTTATTTCATGCTTGTATCGTGTCTGCTGTAGACATTCCTCCGACTATAAATTAAGATATAATTCTATATGCGTATACACACACACACACACACACACACACAGAGAAATAACTGAGTCGTAAGATATTCTTCCAGCACGAATTGTTCCGCCTATAAACTAATATAAGATTATATATAAAGGATTATATAAAAGGAAAGAACTGAATAGCAACACTATAGACTAAGATATTCTTCAGGCACTAATTGTGCCAGGGGTCTGCTTAGCTCTCCTTCCTCGGTGCCCAGAAGGAGGATTACGCACACCCCATCTCTATTAAAAATACAAAAAATTAGCTGGGTGTAGTGGCACGCATCTGTAGTCCCAGCTACTCAGGAGGCTGAGGCAGGAGAATCACTTGAACCCGGAAGTTAGTGGATGTGGTGAGCCGAGATCGTGCCACTGCACTCCAGCCTAGCAACAGAGCGAGACTCCATCTCAAAAAAAAAAAAAAATTCTCAATCTCCCACTGCAGCTGTAGACTTGTCTATTTCTTCTTGTGTATCTGTAATAGATACTCCTTTATACATCTTGTAACAACATTACTGGGTAGATACACACATTGAACTTTCATATTTTTGAAGCAACAAAACCTTTTATAAGGAATTATGTGTGTCTCTAGGAATGTTCTTGGATGGTGCTGTGTGACACTGGGACCTGCTTTTCTTTGTGGGGTCTCTGCTTCTTAAGGGCAGCCTTAGGTATCTTTGGGTGCCAGTGTTCCCCTTTACCTGGCATGGAACCTGAAGGCACCCAGTGATGGCTGGACAGACAACTGAGATCCTTCTCAACACTGTTGAAGTACACCCAGATTACAGCTCCATCACAATTCATAACACAATATCCATCTGAGTTTTGAAATGTATTGAACTACTCAAAGAATACAAGGGTGAGAGGAGTACTGTCTCCGTCTATGTGCTTACCCACCACCCATGGCCTGTCTGCATGCCAAAGACTGGTTTCCCCTGGCCGCCTGATGTGGATACTTAGTACTCTCGCTTGTACCCTTACTGGCACCCCAACTTCCTCTGCTCATGAGCCCAATAGCCAGGGTTGCCTGCATTCCAGAGGGCTGCTTCCTGCTTTCCCAGAGTCCAATGACTCCTCTAGTACCACCCAAAAGTACAGAGCAGAAGCACTACAGCCCTGCTAAAGGCTGACCCTGAAAGGCAGCACTAAAGGAAAATCTTCCCAGTGGCAGAACTTAAAGCGGTATATTGGCCTATTTCTGGGTCTGCAGTGAGAGTTGACAAGACGAACGCATACACACAGATTCATCAAAAGTTGCCAATGGCTTGGCTGGATGGTCAAAAATGTGGGAGGAACCAGAGTGGTAACAAGGAAACCTGGGAAAGGGTATACGGATAGACCTCTCTGAAAGGGTTGTGTCACATGGGAACGCCTACCAAAGTTGATCCACTAGAAATAAGAGTGGACAAAATCATGCACTCTAAAAATACCTGTCACTTTTCCTAGCTACCTCAGTGCTTGCTCAATGGGCCCACTAAAAAATGTTCATGACAGCAGGGTAAAGGCTACGTGGGCTCAGCAGTAAGAACTTCCCCTTACCAAGGCTGACCCAGTAACATTACTGCTGGGCCTAATCTCCTGAAAGCAGAAATCAACACTGAGCAACCAATATGGCGCCACTCCTTAGAGGAGGCCAGCCATGCTGTAATGGGTCCTCTTCTATCACAAAATTGTCAAAGACTCATCCTCACCAGAAAACATTCATGTTTCGGTATGGATCTGCTGGTTAGGCTTCTGCCGGCACCACCATCCAAGGATTTACAAGATGCTTTATCAGCAGTCATTGCTCCACACAATGTAGTTTCTAAACAAGAAAGGCATTTCACTGCAGAGGAAGTGCAACAACGGAAGCACGTCCTTGCAATCGACTGGTACCATCACACACCACATCGCTCAGAAGCAGCTGATCTACATGAAAAGTGGAATCGCATACTGAAAACTCAGTTATACGGCCAAATGGAAGACAACTCTTAGAAAGGAATTCTATCTCATAGGTCAAGGTATACGCTTTGAGTCAGAAAGCCTTGCATGGTACTGTCTCCCCACAGACAGAATAGATGGGTCCAAGAATTGACGGGTGGGCTGGAAGTGATGGCTCACGCCTGTAATCTCAACACTTGGGAGGCCAAGGTGGGAGGATCATTGGAGGTCAGGAGTTCGTGACCAGCCTGGCCAACATGGTGAAAGCCCATCTCTACTAAAACACAAAAAATTAGCTGGGTGTG